GTTTTTCCAAATACAAAACTATCCTTAGTGATAATCGGCGATCTTCCAAATTTGAAAATTTGAAAATGCATGTAGTTATAAATTGCAATTGTAACAGTGAAAATTGAGACGTGAATAACTCAGTGAAAATTGAGACGTGAATAGTTTGTGTTCTTTTAAATGGTGTTTTTAGATAACAGAGTTAAGTTAGTGTTCATACCATGTGCACCAGTGTTTGTCTAAAATATGAACGCAAATATCAGTATTAAAAAGAAAACAATGAATGGTTTAATCCAGTACGAAATGTCGAAATTCCATCAGTTTTCTTTCCTTAATAATACATAACATAATAGGGCTAATTTGGTAAGTAGGACCTACTATCATATATTCATCATCTTTATTCTTAAACTCTAGTAAAAGTTGTAATTAAAATTGTGAAATTTTATGTCCCATTTAATATTTAAGGTCATATTTTACACTTTTTAGGTCATATTTGACATAATTTTGGGTCATAAGTGCATGCATATATTTATAGTTTTTAGGTCATAAAAATCTGAGCCCTAATAATAATATTTGATACAGTATGGTAAAGGCTATGAGATGTTGGATTTTAGGTTTTCACATTGGTACCTATGAATAACACCATCTTCTGGGTTGCAAAACCGTGAAGTCTGGTAGAAGTTCACATACATTTTGGATGAGCATACTGTCTCATTCAAAAACAATGGTAAGCTCCTACAAAATTACTTGGTTTGATCTGTGTTTCTGCTCATTTGTTACAATGTCACTGCCTACATGTTACATACCGTTTCAGAACATGCCCATTACCTTAACATCTATGTTATCAACTCCGCTACCAATACGGACAATAATTCTCAATGTCTTGAATTTCTCTAGATCTTCTTTTGTGAGAATAATCGTATGCCACATGAGGGCTCCGACAGCTTCATTTAGGACCTGAAACATTATAATGCATATTATGTTTCCAGTTCTGAACAATGATGCTTTTATTCTGTAAAGACACAAACACGAGAAATTTTCATCAATAAACACAACACACTCTTCTGATGGCATAACAAACCGTTTCTAGAACAATGACATTCTTTTGTGTTATGGAAACTTCTGAACCATGGCTTAATTCCAACATACCATGTCAGACTCTCAATCCAATGCTTAAAAAAAGGCTGATAATATTATCAAATAAACTGTGTACATCAAATTTAGTCCACTGTTTAAAAAATTGTGTTCCAGTGCAACATTTCATAAGTCCAGAATTTTTAAAGTAAAACTATGCACCCTGGTACATTGGATGTCAAAATAAAAGTATTTCAAAAGGTTAACTTTCTACTTGCTTCATGCCTGTTTGTAAGTTCAGATTGCTGAAAGCACTGAAAACTGCATGGAAATAAGAAACCCAAATTTCTGAACACATACAAAAAAAACTATAATGCCTTCTAGCTCAAAATTATGCTTCATTTCTTTGGGGTGGAGCTGAGAAAGCTTACAGTGTACTAAGAGTGCTTGAGAAATGATAGAAAACTGTGGAAGAGGCTTTCAACAAGGCCTACATAATGAACACTGGCATCAGTTGCATGTAATCCTATTAGCACATGCTGTCTCTTGATACACCAAAAGTATGCTTCATTAACAGAAGTCTACATTGTCAATAAAAACAATTATATTCATTAATACAGCTTCGTGTCTCTTTCATCCATAGGGAACAGGAAGTCAATGCTTTACCTCAACATTAGGATGACCGAATTGCAGTGTCACGCAGTAGTGGTCAGAGTTAGCCTACATAATTAAAATTTTGTCTGTTCAGCAAATACTGAGATTTTTGTTGTATAAGTGAATCTGCACTGGGCAGGGATTTACTGTACTTTCCTATAACATGCTAAAAATAAATATGAATATTAAGAACAGAATTTGTTACTGATATTACCTGCTTTCAAGAAATGTCAGTTGTCAAATGCGATCTTAATACTCATCACATTCCTTGCTTGCACAGAGGCAAAACAAGTGTAAGCAAAACAATGTATGCTTTTCGATTCATTACTTTTAGACACAAATTGCCAAATTATCATCAAAGAATCCAGACTGAAAAACAAGATTTACAAAAGGTGACAGCACTTAAGTTATGTGGTGTTTTCGTACATTATCACTGCGAGTTCTTGATGCTCAAGTTCCTTGTGACTACATCCATCCTGCTGAGTGCTGACCTTTACAGCCATTGCTACAACTCCCAGGAAAGTAAAATTCAAGCCTTCCACACTCTTCTGTTACATAAATGTAGTATGCTCAATAGCACTATTGTCACACATCAATTTTATGTGCACTTTCATAAAAATACATATCAGAAAAACATTTTGGGGGAGTTCATGCCTGTTAGTCTTTCACCATGTTTCATTTCTGTTTGGTGTTCACCCACACCAGCACTACTAGGTTCATGTTTTTCTCTGTTCACCACAACATCTAGACTGGCTCTGGGGTCCACCCAACCTCTGCCCAGTAAGTACAAGATACGACTTCCCTGGGAGCAAAGTGATGATGAGAATCAATATTCATTTCTCTTCAGTGCCAGAGCTGTATTATACCTCCACTTTCCCATGCAACTTCATGGAGTGGTGTTTGATTAATTAAGAACAAGGACAACTCTGCCTTCAGTGGTTCAATACAACCAACAACTAAACTACACCACAACTAAACTACAATCAGTGCAAGGCAGAATCAGTCAATTTTCTCAAAGATCTTACCTCACTTTAAAAATCCGTTACACAACATACAACACAAATCTTACCAAATCTTACAATTTCAATTCAAATACTTTATGTATATATGTAGTGAAACACACTGCAAAAACCGTGTTCCTCAACAATCTACATGCCCTCCTACGTTGGCAATTTATTAAAATGCATTCATGCCACAAAAGTGCACTGCAAGGTGAAAATAAATCAGGAACTATATAAAAAAAAAACTCCCTGGCCTGTAGACTGCAAGAGAACTATACCGACTGAGCGACCGCCGCTTGTCGGTGAAGTTAGTGCCAACTTTAGTGGATAGAGGGTGATGCGTGGTCAGAGCAACAAATCCCCATGGCTGTTAATCTCGGTTTTCTAGACCAGAGCCACTATTTGCTTGAAAGAGCTCCTCAATTACCCTCACGAGTCTAAGTGGACCCCATTCCAGACCCACTACTTCTTGGAAAACCTGGTATAGCCGGGAATTGAACCCAGACCTCTGGATCTGTAGCCAGGAACTCTGACCACTACATCACAGAGGCGGTCAGGAACTATAACAGCCACTGTAAAACCAATCACATAATAATGAAATTATTCAAGCACACAAAACTATATGACTTCTTCCTGTATATCTTATCATTTGGGATCATGTTCATAATTCAAGAAAATACAATTTACTTTCTAAAATGAGCTGGCAAGATGTCTTGCACCACGCCACTATTATATATATATACGTATATATTCTGCGGGTTTCATGATGCTCAAATTGTGGTCTTCTGGGTTGTGACACCATGTAGGTGGACACTGATATTTCAGAACATGTTGCCTCCATTGTCAGGGTTGAAATGTGGAAATTAAGACAGCATGTTCTTCCGAAACATTATCCATCTACAATAACACAATACACAATGTCACAACCCCAAAGACCACAGTATGAACTCACTACTACTTCAATTAGTACTGTGTGAATTTATTTTAAAATTAAAAAGGGTGAAAGTGTGTAATGTAATTGAGCACATAGATTTTCCAAATTATTTAATATGAATTTGATTTGTTTCATTTTTGGTCCGTCACACTAACAGTTACAATTATAAAAGACAAGTCCGTCCAGTGTGACTACTTCAGTTTTCTCACTTTATGATTCACTAGCCTTACATGTTTCGATCCATTTGGATCATTTTCAGAGTCACCAAACACTTTTTAGAAACCACTATCACAACAGTTGTCATATCAATTACACATGTATTGCCAAGTACACAATGTTCCATCTATCAGTCACAGCAGCCTTACTGGTTGTAGAAATATTTAACATTGTTTTAAAGTTTTAAAAACTTTGTTCAAAATTAAAATTCATAAACCTTACGGTTCGTGTCAATAATCCCTGTTGTCTCTCTTCTAGGTGGCCAATGTTGTGCCGCCTAGTAAGGAGATTCTTAATATAGTCCATTATGATTTCTTGGCCCGCTGTGCTGTTTATAGTCACACTGGACGGACTTGTCTTTTATAATTGTACTTAATATTATTTTGCACATCCCAGTTGCTCTGATGTTCATTTATTGCAGACGTAGTTCTATTTCTGCAAAAGTAATCTCTGTAGTTCAAAATTTTGTTTTTAATTAAATATTCACCATATAAAGAAAAAGTCTCAAACAAAAGTTGTGAATCTTTGATGAGGTCAACATATTTTACGGTGCAGCAACCTTTTTAATGATGGAAAACGCTTTGAGAAATGTCATAAATTAAATTTGGGTTTCATACAAAATAAGGTGCTGATCAATACACACTAAAATTAAACACACTCCTTAATATTTAGGGTGGATTCCAATAGCAAAAATGGAATTTCCCATTCCACACTAATTTTATATACTTTGTGCTAAGAAAATATTCAGAGTCACAATAATAAACTTTATTTGTTCCCACAATCTTTGTAGAGTTCTGCATCTATGCAAATACATAAAAATACCGACTTTTGCAAAATGCAACTATTCCTAATGAGTGTCATTACACATGAAATAAAAAGAACTGTCCTTTACAATCCTCAGTTGTCCCAATTCTGGTCTTCCCATTACTGACAGGATGACAATAAATCCTGTCTTGGTACAAAACTTAAGACTGTTTTCAAGCTGCTATATTTGGAAATATTAACAGAAAGACAGTGCAAAAGACTTAATGTCAAACGTAATGTTACAGAAAATTTCAAGCAACACCATGAACTGTATGATATTATTAGACACCGTCCAATGTGAGGTATATTTTTGTTCATATATTCTGAAAGTTGAGTTTACTCCCACCTTCACAGTGAAATGTTGTCATTACACTGAGTGATATTTTTATTTTTACTGTTTATGCTGCCAATACTAATAGCAGTAATCAGCATCATAACATGCACACCTGCAATAATGACACAAACACTTATGTTTTATTGCACTATTTTGAATCCAAAGTTACATTTCACAGTGTAGTAACGCCTCAGCTATAGGTGCTCCAGTGAATCTGGATATCAACTATGCTCGTATACCCTGCTACACATTTACATCAACAGCACAAAACTTCAAACGGCCATCTGGTATAAATTTTAGTCTTTTGTAAATGTAGTCCTAGTATCCCAGGCATCTGTTCGAATACTGTGCTTGTACACCAATGACTATACAAAGTGTGTCCCATTCACATCCATAAGTACACATATACAATTCTGTGATACTTTCTTGTTTCAATTAATGCATGAAGGGTATGTTCACTCACCTTGGAGCTAACTTCTTTATTTGCTTTACCATGGCCTTCTATACATATATTCAGTCTTTCAACATCTTGTAGAGAAATTTCTAAGGATATGTATCTACTCCACTTAAAGAATGTCATTCTGGTAAAAATCTGCTGCTCATGCAACCAATGCTTATAAAAATGTTTCACGGTGTTAGAGCGTTAATCCTCTCCAAGCACACATTTACTGATTTATTTTTTTCATACTGGCAGCCACAGGAGACTAAAAGCCTAAGACACTTAAACCTCTCTGCACTGATACACATTTCCAGCACAACACAACATTCTTTTGTTTTATAATTTTGGGAAATTCATGGTTTCAGGGTGCAGAGTTCCAAATACTTAACTAAAATTGTCAACAGACAGCAGGCTAGTTTCCATTTACTAATATTATCACACACCATGTAAACCAAAGGGAAGGATGAGTAGTTTCAAGTTATCTCATTCATAGCAATCAAAGAGTCGAGCATTCCCTTAATGCTAACCAATGCAACAATATACAAACATATATACATACATGTGTTTGTCAGCATATTGACAATTTACCTCATGATTTGAGTAATGTCAAACCATGAACACACCAAATACACTGTTATGTCCAATGTAGCTGCAGTATAATGTGTCAACAAGCATCACAAACATAATACCTTCTCCTCGTCAACAACTTACACCAGTCTTGGCATTCATATCACATTAAAAAATGGTGATAACAATGATATATAACCTATCCATAAATCACCATACAATCATTACCATCAATAAAAGTACCAATCCTCACCTTTTCATGTATTTCTGATGTGGACTGTGCATCACAAAAGGCAACTGTGGCCACATCTTTTAAAATGGGCATCTCTATGGAACAATCCCGTCCATCAAGTAATGCCACCAAAGGTCTAGCCTGCATGGGACCATTAGCAATGGGGCCACGCAGGTTATCGATGCGAGGACGTTTCGACAACATCTTCCGTTTGTCCATCGGTGCGGTGGTTAAAAAATGTTCTGATAGTTTTCAAAGGAGGGAGAAAAATCTCTCTCACTCACACTACAACTTTCCTAGCTAAGCCGTTGTGGCAGATTGTAATACAATTAGCATTAAAGAAAAACCAAGAGCACTGTTGCTGATTTGTTTTTCAACAAAATCTTGTTCTTCAGGTGAAGAGGGCTTCAGGTTACACTTCCCAGCACACTTTCGGCTTCATCACGAAGTCCTGGCCGGGCCACCTGAAGAAAAAGAAAAATTGGTGTTACAATTTGTTTGAAAAGTCAACTTCAACCAACAGTGAGAAGGGAGCCAAGACAGCATAGTCGGTATAGGGACTGGCTATGAGCTGGATGATCAAGTTCCTGCAGGGTCAAGAGTTTTCTCTTCTCCATGTTGTTCAGACCAGTGACGGGGGCCACACAGCCTCCTGTCAATGGGTACCACGGGCTCAATCCCTGGGGTAGAGCCAGGGGTGTGGAGCTGACCACTCACCTCCAGTTAGTGCTGAGATCAAGAAAATGTGGATCTATACATCCTCTCCCCCACATACTCCCATGGTGTAGTGCTTAATTGGTTTGGCACAGAAACAAATTTACCTTTAACCAAACAGAAGTAAAAAAACAAACAGGAAGATCCAAATATATCAGTATAACTACTGCCATGTTTTGCAGCCTGTGTATGTCTGCCAGACCAGGTGAACCTTAGGAACATTAACAGTCATGAAACGTCACCTGCTTCATGAGGGATGACAACAGTAGAGTAAAAAATTTTGATAAATCCAGTACATTTATTTTGTATACATACTGTGCACGCAAAAAAAACAGTATGGAAATAGGGTAGCAATGTTGTTTCATATATGGACTCCAATGGTTTAAGATATGTCACCAAAAAAAACCCCCTCAAAACTGGATACAATTACCTTCGCCTCCAATTCCAACAATATACATCCCTATAATGATGACGTTTCCCACCCCCTCTTCTTGGTGTTCCAAGTACATGTGTTCGCCCATCCTACCAGAGAACAAGCCTTCTCGGCCCATGCACCGCGACCTACAGTGTTCTATTGTGCTTACAGAACAAGTTAGTCTATTGGAAACGTTCTAGTCTTATATTAAGCAGGTGCTCAGTTTCAATCATGGATGAGGCACTGGCTACCATGATCAAGGTATTTTTTGGGGAGGGGGGGTTCTCAGTACCCCCAGATAAATGCCAGGACAGCACCTCAATTAACCCACAACTACTTCCTTCCAAATCATTCATCTACTGTCATATCATTCAGTCTGATACTGAAAGCGTTGTAAAATAAACAACCACCCACCCCAGCCAGTGTCTTACCCACTGAAGACTCCTTGATTTCAATGCACTTATGTTCCCCTTATAAAACAGGTTCCTTGCTATGTAAAACAATTTTATAAACTAGAACCTCAGCCTCTAACGGAGTACCAGGAACGTTCCTGGAGGTTAAGGGCAGCCGGCGCGTAAGGCATATACTCGTATAGCAACCACTGCATTTTATGACTCCTTGGACGGGGGATCAGTCCGTCGCAAGGCCGCTACCTATACAAACACAGAGTAAACACAAACACTCATGCCTTGAGTGGGATTCGAACCCACGATCCCACCGTTAGGGCGGGTGAAGACTGTTCATGTCTTAGACCGCGCGGCCACTGTGATCGGCCAAAACACAAATCTGCAATGCTTATATTAAAGTAATTTACTATAAGGCTAAGAATGTTTGCATTCATTATGAAACACTCTGTATAAAAGTTATTAATTGCATTCAAATGATTTAAACGTCGAACACTCCCGCATTACACTTCTCGTAACTAGACAGGATTATTGGAACGTCGCAGTCATAATTTAAGTGAAGAATCACGGAGTACGTCACGTCGGGAGCAAATAAATGTGTTTGCAAGACGGTAGTACAAAACTTCCAGTTGGTTGCCATGGCAACGCAAACCTTCGGTTTGTGCCTGGCTGGAAACAGACGTGGAGACTCCCAATTCCACTTCGACCGAGTCCTGACGCCCTTCTCCTGCGCACACACTTTCTGCAACTTTCTTCCACCCCCCCCAAACACAAACTGATGCTTAACACAGATACACATGTACTATCGGAATAAAAACATACGCCCACTCTGGCAAAGTTTGCAAAGGAACTACACTTCGTACTGGAGTACAGGGGAAAGTTCAGCCTCACGCACCGGCTGCTTTGACTGCAGGGAGAGAGAGCCTCCGGTACCCAACGCATAAGATCCCAGTTGAAGCAGAGCCAAAAAAAAAAGGCCCCTTACTGGGTACTGAAGCCCGGCCTTCCAGCTCGTAACATAGTTATGGAGCTGAGCCCTTCTTGAGCAGAAGCCAAATCTGCAGTTACTCAAGAATTTCCCAGCATTTCATGGAACCCGAAGGTTCATTACCGTGTTCACAAGAGCCCTCCACTGGCCTCTATCCTGGGCTAGATCAATCCAATCCATACCATCCTATCCTATGTCTCTAAGATACATTTTATTGTTGTCCACCCACTTACGTCTTGGTCTTCTCACTGGTCCGTTTATCCAGAGGATCAGTCCAGGTCAGAGGTTTCTTGCAAGTATCCGTAACAAATTTATTTTTACGGCGAGTTGTNTGGCCTATTGTACCTCCCCCGGGTGATTATGATGATGGAGAATATGGTGGAATGAAGACTGGCAGGGGAAACCGAAGTACTCGAAGAAAACTCGCCCCAGCGCCACTTTGTCCATCACATATCCCACTTGACCAGACCCGGGATCGAACCCGGGCCGCCGCGGTGGCAAGCCAGCGACTAACCGCTTGGGCTATGGCGCGGCCCTGGCCAGCCCGTAACTACTAACTGAATTATCTAGAATCCACATCTGACGATAAATGTGCACCATTTCTTCTTCCAAAAACATGTCTCACTCACTCATGCAGGTGAGCCCTTCTTGAGAAGCTGCCAATTGTGCAGCTACTCAAAAACTTCCCCGCATTTTATGGAACTCGAAGGTTCATTACCGTGTTCACAAGAGCCCTCCACTGGTCAATATCCTAAGCCAGATCAATCCAATCCATACCATCCCATCCTATAACTCTAAGATCCATTTTAATACTCTCCACTCACCTACGCCCTGGTTTTACCAGTGGTCTCTTTCCATCTGGCTTTCCCACCAATATCCTATAAGAATTCATCTTCTCCCCCATTCGTGGTACATACCCTGCACACCTCAACCTCGACTTGATCATTCTAATTATACTTGGAGAAGAGTACAAGTTATGAAGCTCCTCATTGTGCAGTTTTCTCCGAACTTGTTTACAAAACAAAAACACGTAACGTAAGTTATCTTTGAACAGAAACACTGCACCGTAGTAATTTCAATATTGTGTGACATGATTTTTTCTTTTACCTACAATCACTCTACAACAAACGTACTCAAAGCCCCCGCCAATACTATGTATTCAAACCAGCAATGAGTTTCTGGCAGCTTGCTATTAAACTAACATATTGACATTCAGAGAATATAATTTGAATTTGTTGATATACATGCATGCAGCTGTCATACACGCGTTTGCCATTCCCTGCCAGAGCGACTGGTATTTGAAAATTTTACGTGTGGTTGAAATTTGTCGCCACAGAACTTTTATTATGCGCATGCAAACAGGAAGCCGTAAGTGCGTGTCAAACAAAGCAAAACCCGAATCTCGGAGTTTCGAAATTTCCCTTTTATAATTTCGACACATTTCATCATAGCATCGAGGCGTAATATCTTGAGGATGGATGTGCCTTCACCCTCGAAACTCACCCTTTCGCGGTCACAATCCCCGCGGGTAGTGATGACAAGAGTAGTAAATAATAATAATAATAACAATAATAATAATAATGTCACGAAATGATGAATTACGGAATTCTCCTAGGTGATGGATGTGCGATTAGTGGGACACGTAGCACGCATAAAGATGAGTCATAAACAGTGAAGGCAGGAAAACTTCAAACAAGACAAAACTACTGAAGGTGTGTACTGTCTTCAAATGGCCCCGGACAGGGAAAGAGAAAATTACATATGCAAGTAGTGAAATTATTGACCACCTGAGTAAGAAAACAATTCTCAAGAACTAAGGACTCTGTACGCAGTATCATCGCTATGAAAGCCACACTAACCAGTTAAGACAATTTACAATCTACAATTTACACACACACATATACAGTAAAACTTGGTTATAGCAACATCGGTTTCTGCGACACCTTGTCTATTGCGTCAAATATTCAATGGTACGAACTAATTCCTCATAAAGCAACTGTTTTTATACCTTGCTTAGTACGACATGCACAAATGCATCAACCTCGTATGTAACGTCATTTTCATTCCTGAATTTCTCTGATATCGTGGGAAAGTTCGATGTGTCTGCCCACCCTCACTTTCTCTACTTGCTGACGTGACTGTCCTGGAAGAATACGACCGCGGGCTGCAAGAGGAGCGTGGGTTTTATGCGAAAACAAGGGTGTGGGGTGGGACTGCGTGAATAGTGCAAGAGGACGCGGCAGGTTGTTAACTGCATTCCTTTCCTAGAATCTCGTCTAACAGGACCTCACATTGTCTACTTACCCTATAGTGTTCCTGCCTAAACCCAGAGAAGTGCAGTAGCGAAAACATGGCAATGAAAAGGAAAGTTTTAAGCATTGAAGAGAAAGTTAAAGTGATTCGTGAAATATTGTGTGTATTGTCAGTGAAAAGCGCTGTAATATGTCTTTGATATTACACATTTGGGCAATTCCACGTTAATGTTACGTTAGTCTGTACTTAACTACGTATTTCACTAAAAAATGCAACATTTTAACTCGGTTTTTGGTAGATTTTTACGTGACTAACATAAGGCTACTGTGGAAGTGCCCATTTCGGTTACAACGACATTCGTTTATAACGACACTATTTTTAGGTCCCTTTGATGACGTTATAACCAAGTTCTATTGTGTATATATATATATAAAGTAAAAGGCAAAGGTGTCCCTCAGATTAAAACAAGCACCACGCCATAAACGCACGCGCATTGAATAGAACAAGCACCACGCCATAAACGCACGCGCATTGAATAGAACAAGCACCACGCCATAAACGCACGCGCATTGAATAGAACAAGCACCACGCCATAAACGCACGCGCATTGAATAGAACAAGCACCACGCCATAAACGCACGCGCATTGAATAGAACAAGCACCACGCCATAAACGCACGCGCATTGAATA